GGGGGGATTTGCCCCAAAAGTGGCCGAATTTGGTTTAAATCAAAATTCCCGGCAGGAAAAATCCTTCAAACCACGATTTTTTTTCCCAGGAATAATCAAACCCAAATCAAATCAAATCAAAATAAAGTCAAATAAAATAAAATAAAATAAAACAAGAGACAAACACCGAGTCAGGGCTGGAAAATGCCGCGTCCTGGGAATATTTTACTCATCATTATTTATATTTTTTATTTATTTTTCTCATTTCTGCACTTCAGCAACGCCAAATTCAGGCTTTTTACTTGCCCCTTCAAGAGTTGCTGCACCTTTAAATAATGTGGATTTAACACCAGACATTAAATAAAGATAAAAATCTGATTCTCAGGGCGGGAAACAACCCACAAAAATCGGGATATTTCCGCTTTTTCCCGTCTTAAACCCCCCAGGAAATGTTTGGATCAAACAAACCTTCCCAAGTCCGTGTTTCCTAAAAGGATTCTCATGTTTTAGGGGTGGAAAAACCCAGAAATCAACCCCAAAACCCTCATTTTTCAGCACTTCAGGCAATAATACACCGATTATTCCATAAATAATTTTTTAAAGCTGCTTTTTTTTTGGCAAAACCGAGAGTTTTGGCAAAAAACATGAGTTCGGAGTCGGCTCCTTGGAAGAGTCCGGGGAAAAAGGAATGAGATATGAGGGAAAAAGGGGTTTTTGTGAGAGATGGGAGGCGAGAGAACCTGAGGCAATGTGAGATTCAGCACCAAAATCTGCATTTTTGGGGGAAAAGGGGTTGTTTTTGGGGAAAAGGGGGGGCAGGGGAGCACCAAAGTGACCGAGGTGGGTCTTGTAGGACGAACACACCTGAGAAACATCATTAAAACCCCCCAAAAAAAGCATTAAAAACCCAAAAAAAGGACAAAAACCCCACAAAAAAAGCACTTTTTGGCCTTTTCTGGAGTCCTGGAGAGGAGGAACGGGAGCAGAGGGTGGAGGGGGCAACCAAAACCCCCCCCAAGGCCTCTCGCACCCCAAAGAGTTGAGAACGTTGGTTGGGGTCACCTGGGGCAGCCCGGAGGTCGCTCAAAACGTCCCAAAAAATCAGTTTTTGGGGGGGGGAAAATTATCATCCCCCGGGTTTTAGGAGCAGCAGGTGGAGGAGGAACCGGGAACTTTGGGGCAGTGACCACAACCTTTGGGGCAGTGACCACCACCTTTGGGGCAGTGACCACAACTTTTGGGGCCACCTTTAGGATGGTGGCCACAATTTCTGGGGCGATGACCACAACATTTGGGACAACCAAAACCCACCTTTGGGGCAGTGACCACGACCTTTGGGGCCACCTTTAGTTTGGTGGCCACAATTCCTGGGGGTTCCTGGGGGTCTCCACAACCATTCCCTTCTCTCTGCTGCCCCATAGACCCTCTCCCCATGACATTTTTCCCCCCGTGTCCCACCAAAACCAGGCTCCACCAGCTCATTCCCGGGATCCAGTCGGGGTCCCTCAGGGACACAACTTGATGTAGGTGACGGTGGAGCAGACGGAGAAGAGCGGGAACACCCTCTCCCTGAAGGCCACGTGGAAGGTGAAGATGTGCTCCATGCTCTCGGCGTCGTAGAACGACACCTCCTCCCCCTCGTAGTCCAGGTAGACCCTCACCCTGCCCAGCTTCTTGCCGGGGCTCAGCGGCGTCCGCTGCGGCGACGTCACGGCCCAGTAACGTCCCCCGTTCTGCTGCACGGCCCAGATCCCTTCCTCGGGGGAGAACTGGGTCAACCCTTTCCTCCTGACCGACTCCAGGGCCACCCCGAAGGCCCAACCGTCCGAGGGCCCCACCTCCACCTCCCAGTAGTGGCGGCCCGAGCGGAAGCCGCGCGAGGCGAGGACGCGCGAGTTGGTGTCGAAGCGCTTGGGGTTGTCGGGCAGCTCCTGCTTCCGGCAGCCCATGCGGACGCTCTTGAGGTCGGCCGAGAGGATCAGCAGGTGGTTGGCGGAGTCGGGGTCCAGGGTGAGGTCTTCTGTTGGGGGGAGAGGGGGTTGGAGGTTGGTGAAGGGTTGGAGAGATTGGGGAGGTGGTTGGGTTGGCCCCGAGCTCGTGGCCGTGTCCTGAGGTCAGTGTTCGCAGCCAGACCTCAATATTCAACCCCAAACCTCAGTGATCAGCCCCAAACCTCAATGATCAACCCCAAACCTCAGTATTCACACCCAAA